AAAAATAACAACCAATACCACAGAATTATAAGATAATATTATAAAAAAGATATGCCAAAAAATTACACAATCTCCAAGAAATGGATAAGTTCCTAGAAATATAAAACCTACAAAAACTGAAGCAGAAAGAAATAGAAAATTTGAACAGACCAATTACCAGCAAAGAAATTAAATCAATAATCAAAAAACTTCCAACAAGGGTGTCTTGGTGGCTCAATCAGTTATAAATCCAACACTTGACTTCAGCTCAAGTTGTAATTTCTTTTTGTTTTTATTTATTTTTATTTTTTTAATGTTTTATCCATTTCTAGGAGAGAGAGAGAGACAGCGTGAGCAGGGGAGGGTCAGAGAGAGAGGGAGTCACAGACTGAAACAGGCTCCAGGCTCTGAGCTGGCAGCCAGCACAGAGCCCGACGCGGGGCTCGAACCCATGAACCGCAAGATCATGACCCAAGCGAAAGTCGGACACTTAACCAACTAAGCCACCCAGGCGCCCCTCAAGTTGTAATTTCATGGTACATAAGATTAACCCCCATGTCTCTTCATCAGGCTCTGCACTGACAGCACAGAACTTGCTTGTGATTCTCTTTCCCTCTCTTTCTCTCTCTCTCTCTGCCCCTTCCCTGCACTCTCTCACTCCTGGTCTCTCTCAAGATAAATAAATAAACATTAAAAAAAAAAAAAACTCCTAACAAACCAATGACCAGGACCAGGTGGATTCACAGGTGAATGCTGCCGAAGATTTAAAGAAGAGTTAGTACCTAGTCTTCAAAAACTATCCCCCTCCCAAAAAAAGGAAAAGAAAAAGAAAACCATCTAAATTTATGCTATGAGGCCAGCATGACTCTGATATCAAAATCAGATAAAGATCTAATAAACAAACTACAGACCAACATCTCTGATGAACACTGATGCAAAAATCCTCAACAAAATACAAGCAAACTGAATCCAACAATACATTAAATAAATTATACACCCATTCACCACAATCATTTGGGATTTAATCCTGGGTTACAAGTGTGATCTAACATTCTCAAATCAATCAATGTGATACATCACATCAATAAGAGAAAGAATAAAAACATACGGTCCTTTCAATAGATGCAGCAAAAGCATCTGACAAAGTAAAACATCCATGTATAATAAAAACCCTCAAGAATATAGGTTTAGAAAATACCTACCTCAACATAATCAGGGCCATATATGAAAAAAACCACAGCTAACATCATCCTTGATAGGGAAAAACTGAGAACTTTTCCCTTAAGGTCAGGAACAAGACAAGGATGTCCACTCTGTCCACTTTTATTCAGCATAGTACTGGAAGTCCTAGCCTCAGCAATCAGAAAACATAAAGAAATAAAAGATACACAAATTGGTGAGAAAGAATTAAAACTTTGCTTATTTGAAGATGACATGATACTCTATATATACCTGAGTGATTCCACCAAAACTTTGCTAGAACTGATACATGAAGTCAATAAAGTCACAATGTACAGAATCAATGTACAGACAACTGTTCATTTCTATACACCAATAATGAGCCATCAGAAAGAGAAATTAAGAAAATAATCCCATTTACAATTGTACCCCAAATAATATGATGCCTAGGAATAAAGCTAATCAAAAAGGTAAAAAACCTATACTCTGAAAAATATTTAACATTGATGAAAGAAGTTGAAGAGGACACAAAGAAACAGAAAGACATTCCATGCATTTGAATTAGGAGAACAAAATTTTTTTAAATACCTACACTACTCAAAGCATTATATATTTAATCCAATCCCTACCAGAATACCAATATTTTCCCAACATTTTTCACAGAAATAGAACAATCTTAAAATTTGTATGGAACCACAAAAGAACCCAAATACCCAAAGTAGTCTGGAAAAAAAAAAAGGAGCAAGGCTGGAGGCATTACAATTCCCAACTTCAAGTTATATTTCAAAGCTGTAGTTAGCAAATCAATATGTACTGGCACAAAAATAGACACCTAAATCAATAGAACCGAACAGAAAGCCCAGAAATAAACCACAATTATATAGTCATTTAATCGGGACAATGCAGGAAAGAATATCCAATGAGAAAAAGACAGTCTTTTCAACAAATAGTGTTGGTAAAACTGGACAGCAACATGCAAAAGAATAAACTGTACCACTTTCTTACACCAAACCAAAAAAAAAAAAAAACTAAACTAAAAATGTCCTAAGACCTAAATGTTAATTCATGAAACCATAAAAATCTTAGAAAAGAACACATGCCATAATTTCTTTGACATCAGCTGAAGCAACATCTATCTAGTTAAGTCACCGAGGCAAGGAAAACAAAAACAAAAGCAAGGTAGTGAGACTACATTAAAATAAAACCTCTACACAGCAAAGGAAATAATCAACAAAACTAGAGGCAATCTACAGAATGGGAGAAGATATTTGCAAATGATGTATATAACAAAGGGTTAGTATCCAAAATATATAAAGAAATTCTACAACTCACTATGCAAGAAACAAATAATCCAATTAAAATTGGACAGAAGACATGAAGACATTTTCCCAAAGAAGACGAACAGATGGCCAACAGACACATGAACAGATGCTCATTATCACTTATCATCAGGAAAATGCAAAGCAAACTACAATGAACATCACCTCACACTTGTCAGAATGGCTGACATCAACAACACAGGAAACAACAAGTGTTGATAAGGATGTGGAGAAAAAGGAACCCTGTTGCACTGTTGGTGGGAATGCAAACTCATGCAACCACTCTGGAAAACAGTATGGAGTTTCCTCTAAAGGTAAAAAAATAGAACTACTCTATAATCCAGCAATTGCACTACTGGGTATTTATGCAAAGAATACAAAAACACTAATTCATGGTCGCCTGGGTGGCTCACTTTGTTAAGTGTCCAACTTCGGCTCACGTCTCGATCTCACTGTTCATGAGTCATAGCCCCGCTTTGTGCTCTGTGCTGACAGCTCAGAGGCTGGAGACTGTTTTGGATTCTGTGTCTCCCTCTGTCTCTGCCACTTCCCTCCCCCTCTCTCTCAAATATAAATAAAAACAGTAAAAAATAAAAATAAAAAAGGTAATTCAAAGGGATATATGCACCCTATATTTATGGCAGCATTATTTACAATAGCCAAAATATAGAAGTAGCCCAAGCATCTACCGATTGGTGAATAGATAAAGAAGATGTGGCATATGTGTGTGTGTGTATATATATATCCAATCAAACATTATTCAGTGATAGAATGAAATCTTGCCATTTGCAACGACATGGATGGAGCTAGATGGTATAATGGTATAATGCTAAGTGAAATAAGTCAGTCAGAGAAAGACAAATCCCATATGATTTCACTCATATGTGAAATTTATGAAATGAAACAAGTGAATAAAAGGAAGTAGAGAGAATGAGAGAGACATAAACCAAGAAAAATATTTATATCTATAGAGAACAAACTGATAGTTACCAGAGGAGAGGTGGGTGGGAGGATGGGTAAAATAGGTAATGGAGACTAGAAAGTCACTTGTCATGATGAGCATCAGTTGATTAAAATTTTAAATTTTTAAATTTTAAAAAGAATGCAAAAGAAAAAAAGAAAATAACAAAAAGTGCAGGAGGAAACTTTTGCAGGTGATGGATAATATTATGACATTGATTGTGATGATGGTTTCATTGATGTATACTTATCTCCAAACACATAAAATTGTATACATGAAATATCTATGATCTTTTTACATTAATTATACACATAGCATGAAAGTACAGCATAGGGAATACAGTCAATAGTGTTATAATAACATTGTATAATGGTAAATAGTGACTATACTTATCATGGTGAGCATTTTGTGATGTATATCATTGATGAATTACTATATTGAACACTTGAAACTAATGTAATATTGTATGTCAACTATATTTCTATTTAAAGAAGAAGAAAATACTGGTCAACAAAAAATGATTAGGAGTCAGACAAAAAGTATTCTATTCTCTAAAAAGAAGAAACTTCCAAACCAATAATGTGTAGCCAGAATAGAAGAAGATGGGGCACCTGGGTGACTCAATCAATTGAGTGGCCACTTTCAGCTCAGGTCATGATCTCATGGTTTGTGGGTTTGAGCCCAGCATCAGGCTCTGTGCTGATAGTTCAGGCTCTGTGCTAATAGCTCAGAGCCTGCTTCAGATTCTGTCTCTTCCTCTCTCTCGCCGCCCCTCCTCCATTCACACTTTGTCTCTCTTTCAAAAATAAATAAACGTTTAAAAAAATATATAAGAGGGGCGCCTGGGTGGCTTAGTCGGTTAAGCGTCCGACTTTCGTTTAGGTCATGATCTCGCGGTTGTGGGTTCGAGCCCCGCGTCGGGCTCTCTGCTGACTGCCAGCTCAGAGCCTGGAGCCTCTTTCGGTCTGTGACTCCCTCTCTCTCTGACCCTCCCCTGCTCACGCTGTCTCTCTCTCTCCTAGAAATAAAGAAAACATAAAAAAAAAAAATTAAAAAAATATATAAGAAAAAAAGTAAAATGAGTGAATAGGAAAAGAGAAAATAAGAATCAAAAATAAAAACAGTCAAGCATGAAAGGGTTTTTGCCATAGCAAAACATAAACATAAATAAAATATATTGCATAAACTGAAATGAAAGAATTTAAAATGCATATATATTAATTTTATACCTCTCAGCTCTATTTAAGGATAGAAAGGCATGGCTAAGGGGAATTATATGCTTTCATTTAGATCTCATGCATAGACTTCTCACTTGGTAAAGATACTACACAGGATAAAAAAAAAAATTGGGGTTCCTCAAGGTCCTTTCCAATATTTTAACTGTTTGTCTATTGATACTTCAAGGAGTCTTACCTGGTCAACAGCTTCAAGTCAAATGATGCAAATATTTTGGCGCCTTGTTAGTGTCATTTTTCAAAGTCCATCCTAGAAAAAATTATTGATAGACATTATGAGATATACATAAAGATCAACTGAAAACATATTTTTGTGTTGTATTTCAGAAAAAAATGCATCATCTACTGGTGAGTTATTTTACTATTTAATAACTATAAAGTACAAGTGTGTAGTAAGGGATTATAGTCACTCTGGCTATTTTCATTCATAACTGTACAAAAACTAAGAATTTCAATGAGTTATTTAAAACATCTTTGATATTTAACTCCACTGATTTCTAGAAATAATACATTGGTAATTAAGTCAACTGGCTTGTCAATAATAACTTAGAATTTTTTACTAAGAAGAACATATACAAAAGTATTTAATGAAATAAAGTGGTTCCAGAATCCAGGCAGAGATAAAGGAAAGTTTAAATAAAGCTTTGAAAAGAACAAATACTTTTATGCACAGTACAGTATAGGTTGTTGAAAGGCTGGCAACATATGAGGAAAGGAACAGAAGGACGGATATGTTTCTGATCCTTCAGATTAACAGATAATAATTTAAAAATAATAGAGAAAAGAAATTAAGAAAAGTAATAACATGGTGGTGGTGGTGATGGTAGAAGCGGTAAAAAAATTAAAAGTAGTAGGGAGGAAAACTGAAAGAGCATAGTTTGCAAAAAATAAACTGAGGATAATTCCCCACTAGGAGAAGAAGTTTAAAAACTGCTTCTCTGGACTTTGTTCCAACTGAGACAAATTAGTGAAAATGATGAGTACCTAGGGAAAAGGATCACATGAGCTTATTTATTTTTATATAAGAAGAAAGATAGAAAACCAATGTTTAGATATGTTTAAAAGGCAGATTTTAAGAATTTCAGAAAATAAATGTAGCATACTTTGTCACAACTACCATATACTAATTCCTTTATTACTATAGTCCCTAAAATCCTAGAAGAGTAAGAGTTACAAAAATTAATTAAAAAATAAAATAAAAAATCTGAATTAATATGGAATCAGTAATCAAAAAAACCTTTCTCCATGACCAGATGACTTCTCTGGTAATTCTACCAAATATTCAAAGAAAAAATAATTCCAATCCTGCACGGAGTTTTCTTGAAAATAGAAAAAGAGGGTACAGACCCAATTCGTTTTATGAGGCAATGTTAAAAAATACCAAGATGAACAGAATTAATAATAAAATTTGAGAGAACTCAGAAATGCATTACACAAATGTTCACATCATGTTTAAATAATCATAAATGTTCACAACTGTTGACATATGACAAAACTTCCCTGCAGAATGATGGATAAAGAAAAGTCTTTTTATAAATGACTTATGACAAGTGGATAACCATACAGAAAAGAATGGAAGAATGTATAACCCTACTTCACATCAAAATTCAGTCCCAGTGAATTACATATAAATATGAAAGACAAAAATAGTTTTTAGAAAATAATATCGAAATAATCATCATGAATTTGGAGTACAAAAGAATTTCTTTTAAAAGACTCAAAACCTACTTAAGAAAATAATGTGATACATGTTGGAGGGGTTCAGATTCAGAAACTTTTGTTCACCAAAAGCCACTGAGTGAAAAGGCACTAAGTAGGAAAGCATATTTACAACACATAAAAAAAAAAATAAAAAACTTTTTAAAACTGGTATCAGAATATATGAAGAATTCCTACAGAAAGAAAACAGTTTGGAGGAACCAAGACGGTGGTAGAGCAGCATCTCTTATCCCTGAAATGCAGCTAGATCAGCACCAAACCATTTTGCACACCTAGGACATTGTACTGAAGATTAGCCCAATAAGCTGCATAACCTGAGCCACAGAATCTGGCAGGTACACAGTGAGGAGAGGTGAACTGGGGGAGAGAGAAGTTGCAGAGGGTAGGGAGCTGTTTTTGTGGAGACAGAACAGAGAAAGGGGGGGAGAGAGTGTGGCACACCAGGAAAGTACAAAAAAACCCACTCCCCTCAAAAGTAGCTGGAGAGAAGGAGAAAAAGTGGAAATACAGAGGACTGAACAAGAAATCTGTTCCCCAAAACCACTGATGGGAAGAAAGGAGAGGATTTCAATACCTTTAGGACTCTATAAACAGGGGACTGCAGAGCTGGAGATTCTGGAGCTCAATACCTGGTAGTGCTCTGGTGGAGAGGAGGGGTGAAACCTCAGGAGCAGGCAGCAAGGTTAGAGGGCCACACGGGGAGAAGCATTTCACCTGCTTGGGAAGGAGGGCATTTGGTAGAGGCCGTTTGGCCTCTCCACTGACAAAGATCCCAGCAGATCTCAGGGAACAGCCACATTTGCTGGCACTGGAACAAAGACAGCAGGGTGCAGTGAAACCTAGCGCCAGTTGTTTGCTGTGATTTGCCATAATCTCTGAACTGCTGCTGCTGTGCAACTGCAGGAAATTTTGCGGGGACCAGCTGGCACCCGGCCACAATTTCTGAACCTCTGCCACAGTGCAAGATCTCATGAATTCTATCATAGTAACGTTCTCTGGAGCAAGCCAGAACCCAGCCATTGCTCAGTGAGACCCTCCCCAGAGGATCAGAGTGGGTCCAAGCTATCGGGTTCTCAGATGTGAGGGGTTTGGAAATACAGCCCTATGTGAGATAAAATTCGGGAGAGGTGCCGCCTGGCAGGCAGATGGCTTGAACAGACACAGTGTAGAAGCGAGGAGTGGACAGAATCTGGGAACAAAGAGGAATGCTTGATTGTTGGTAGGTGAGAGCTGAGTTCTTGTGCCAGAGATTGGGAAGATGAGCAAAGCAATTTTCACCTCCGATGCATGCACAAACACGCTCACGAGCACATGCGCCGCACTGATCCACCCCAGTAAGCTCAGGAGCACCACCTGGTGGAAAACGAAGCCATTACACCAAGTTCTGCCCAACTGCAGCCACCAAGCACATGCCCTAGAGGACACCACAAGGCTCTCCACCGGCTTAGTGTACTAACTATAAAGTGCTTCATAGTTTGACTTCTAGGGGAAACTGGATGTAATTTCTTTCAGATTTCATTCTGTTTGCTGGTCTATCTATTCATTTGTTTGTTTTCTCTTTCTTTTTTTGCTTTTGATCAAATTGGTTTTTTTTTCTTCCTTTCTTTTTCTTAAATACAGAAAGAGACAATTTTATTTTTATTTTCTGTTTAATTTCTTTTTAAATTATTTTTACTATATTGTTTTTATTTTTTGTAAATACTTTTGTTCTATTTCACTTTCTCCATTTCATTTTATTCTATTTTATTGTATATATTTTTTTTAATTTTTAAACTTTTTCTTACTTTTATTTTCCTTTTCTTTCCCTTTTTTCTCTATTCTACCAAACTTCTTTCAACAACCAGACAAAAACACACCAAGGATCTAGCTTCCTTTATTTGATTTTTTGTGTTGTTTTTAATTTTTAAAATTTAATTTTTATTTTATTAATTCTTTTTCTTCCTGCAAAATGATAAAACAAAGGACAAGGAAATAAATAAAGATACAGGAAGAAAATAAAGAACAGGAAGAAATGACAGCCAAGGGCTTAATCAACACAGATATAAGCAAGTTGTTTGAACTAGACCTTAGAATCACAATAATAAGAATACTAGCTGGAGTTGAAAAAAGCACAGAACCCCTTTCAGAAGATGTAAAAGAAGTAAAATACAGTCAGGATGAAATTAAAAATGCTATAACTGAGCTGGATGAAAGAGAGCAGCAAATCAGCTATATAAAAGACAAAATTATGGAGAACAATAAAACAGGAACAAGAGAGGGAAACTAAGGCACAATATAGAATTAGAGAACTCAGTGACTTATTAAAAAGGAATAACATCCGAATCATAGGAGTCCCAGAAGATGAAGAGAAAGACAAAGTGGTAGAAGGTTTATATGAGCAAATTATAGCAGAAGTTTCCTAATCTGTGGAAAGACACAGACATCAAAATCAAGAAACCCAGAGAACTCCCATTAGATTCAAGAAAGACCAACCATCAACAAGGCCTATCATAGTCAAATTCACAAAATACACAGGTAAGGTGTATAAAAGAAGTAAGGGAAAAATACTCCTGAGCCTATAAGGGAAGACTGATCAGGTTCACAGCAGACCTACTAGTCACAGAAACTTGGCAGGCCAGAAAAGAGTGGCAGGATACATTTAATGTGCTGAATCGGAAAAATATGCAGCCAAGAATTCTTTATCCAGGAAGTCTGTTATTCGAAATAGGAGAGATAAAGAGTTTCCCAGACAAACAACAACTAAAGGAGTCCATGACCATTAAACCTTCCCTGCAAGAACACTCAAGGGGGATTCTCTGAGAGGAGAAAAGATGAAACAAAACAAAAAGACCAAAGGCAAGAAAGACAAGAAAGGATGAGATAACACCACCAGAAACTCTAACTCTACAGGAAACACAGTGGCACTAAATTCATATCTTTCAGTACTCACTATAAATGTCAATGGACTAAATACTCCAATCAAAAGACATAGGGTATTAGAATGGATAATAAAACATGATCCATGTATATGCTGTTCACAAGAGAGCCATTTTAGACTAAAGACACCTTCAGATTGAAAGTAAGGGGGTGAAGATCCATCTATCATGCTAATGGTCACCAAAAGAAAGCTGGAGTAGCCATACTTATATCAGACAAATTAGATTTTAAAATAAAGACTGTAACAAGAGACAAATAGGGCATTTTATCATAATTAAGGGGTCTATCCCCCAAGAAGTTCTAACAATTATAAACTTGTATGACCCTAATGTGAGGCACTCTGATCTATAACTCGATTAATCACAAACATACAGAAACTGGTTGATAATAATACCATAATAATAGGGGACTTCAACACCCCACTTACAGCAATAGACAGACCATCTAAGCAGAAAATCAACAAGGAAACAATGGATTTGAATGACACACTGGACCAGATGGACTTAACAGATATATTCAAAACATTTAATCCTAAAGCAGCATAATACACATTCTTCTTGAATGCCATTGGAACATTTTCCAGAATAGATCACATACTGGGACATAAATTAGCCCTCAACAAATACAAAAAGATCAAGATCATACCATGCATATTTTCAGACCACTATGCTATGAAACTCGAAATCAACCACCACCAAAATTGGAAATACCAT